ATTTTATTGAAATTTTTGATGATTCCCCATACATTTCCTTATAACAGGACACCACAGAAACCAAGCTTGGGCTACCTGTGGATTCGCACGCTWAAAATAACGCGCCAAAATTACGTCATCGCAAACAAAGATAGATCACGTGACGTGGTGAGGTCGATGCTTACATTAGCCATTTTGGAAATTCCTGGTTCCGGCTTGGAGAAATTTTGCTCCAGAAAAAAAAGATTTTTAAGCTAGACAATAACGACTTACCGTCCTAAATGAAGTGGGAATACAAAGAAGAACATCCGTTTGAGAAGAGGAGAGCTGAAGGAGAGAAAATCAGAAAGAAATACCCGGACCGTGTTCCAGTAAGTCAAGCAGCTTTTCTGCTAAAAATGATGAATTTTCGTATTCAACGCGTCAAGTTTTCATACGTTAACTGCGCTGCGGGCTGTTTTTTCTCGGTATTTTCCTTCCTATGCACCTTTAAACCCTTGCTTATTGATAGGACAAGGACTGTGAAGCCCTATTCTTTGGATATTTTTCGTATTTAGTTAAAATTTTGGCTTTGATGTTGACGCCCCTTGTAGTTCAAAACATTGCAAATGGCGTAATCATCTTGTACGAAAATACGAATCCGTAGCAAACAAAAGCTTGAATATTTTAACCTTTCCTTTTTAAAAAACCCTGCAAAAATAATGTTCCTTATTCAAGGAATTAATATGGAATGTGCTGGGCTGTTTATGATATTTCAACTATTATTGTTTTTATTTACGAAGTGTACTTCGTATATCCTCAACTTTTGTTTATGTTTTGCTAGCATAAAATTTTAGAGAAAATACCTCTTTTTGTGCCTTAAAAATCAACTTTTCAATTCAAATTCCAAAGATTTTCTAAACTTCCGTAGAATTGTGTAAATAATTCCATCCAGATCGAAATTGAAAGTTCTGGAAAATTCAATGTATTCCCCAAAATATGTATTAGGTTTCGAATGACTTCTTTCGTTTTAGCTTGACAAATGAATTTCCCTTTTTGCTGTAAAATATTTTTACTGTTATAATTATTTGCATTCTTTACTGAGTTAGAAGCAGTTGTAGTAACGCTAGATCACGTTCTAATATTTGCTGAACTGTGGCATGAATTCGCTAAAATATATGTTTTTACACAAAAAATTAAACTTTTGTTTTTTTAAAAAAAGCAAGGAAAAAATTATTTTCAAAATCGCTTGTATTTGACCAGTTTAGTAGTATGGTTGCAGTATTTTTGYATTTGGTCTTCTCTTTTCCGAGATATAAACATTTGAAATATCAATATGCAAATGAGATGACGTAAATTCAAGACTAATTTGTTATGCAAAAATGCTGTTGTGGAAAGTACTCTGTTTTTTCATTTGCAAATCATCTTAAACTGAAAGATATGGCTTTGTACACTTTTAGGTTATTTCACTTGTAGAATGTAACGCATTCTTGAATTTACGTCATTTCATTTGCATATTGATATTTCAAATGTTTATATCTCGGAAAAGAGAAGACCACATACAAAAGCATTAAGTACTGAAGTACTAGAGAGAATGATTTTGATTTTTTCGAGATTGAAGCACCTGAAGGAATTTGCGCGCCCAACCGTCCAACGAATCATTACGAAACATACACGTTCCTGTTGACTAACTTCAACGTTTCGGCTGCCAGTTAGAACATGTTTTAGTGTCTGGTGTTCACGCTTAGTTGCAAACGACTGTATATCTCAAGAAGATCACCTGATGTTTGTCTGTTGCTCAAGGTTAACCTCAATTTTGTGCATAATGTTCATGCATTCCAGGGTACACCTATAGAATACCCGTAAAGAAATGTAATATAGTGGGCTTCCTATGCACCTACACGTTCGTTGTAGGAATAAACTATCAAGTACCTTGGGGTAAGTTTTAGGGTTAGGATTGGGGAAGGCTTTGGTAGGGTATTCTATAGTTATTCCCATTGAAAGTGAAGGTCCGTGAAATTTCAAAGCATTTGTATGGTTGAAGTTGTGCATATAGACACAGATTCAAGGGTAATCCTGAGTAAATGAGTCTGTAATCAAGGAACACATCAGTAATTTGGAACTCTAAAATGGACTATTACTTATTTTCTTTCTCTTACAGTATCTCCTTGGGCTCCAAATCCAACAACCTTTTTTGATGTAGCTGCATTCTTTTTCTTTATATGTTAACTATTATTGATCTTCTATATCTTACCATCACAGGTCATTGTTGAGAAAGCCCCAAAAGCAAGAATCGGTGACTTGGATAAAAAGAAATACCTTGTTCCATCTGATCTCACAGGTAAACTTACTAATGTGAGGGTTATTCTCCTAAATACACATGTGTACACTGTCTAGCATACCATATCTAAGGGAAGCACAGGTGTTTGCCTCTCATTAATGTAACCCTGGTTTGAGTCCCTTTGGAATCTGTTTTGTAAAGTACACAGTTGGCTCTCTCTGTCACTCTATCTCTCTGTCTCTCTCTCTCTCTGGGCCTTTCTGTGAGTTCTCCATCTTGGAACGATGGGCAGTAAAATATTGTAGTGTTTCTCAGTAGCATGATTCCATGACATTTTCAGGAAACAAAGGTTTTCTGGGGCATGTGTCTGCTGTATATAATGTCATGGTAACACTTTGATTAACGTCTAGCAAAACCTTATTTTGTTGTGAGGATAAATACTAGGATTTTATACAGTAAAGTGATTATCAGGGATTCGCAGTAAGAACAAAGCTTATACACTCAATGTAGCATACACTGAACTTATAGATCTTTACCGAGTGACAAAAACACATTTCATAAATTTACAATTAATAAAAATTCTGTTGATTAACGGATATTCCAAGCGGGTTCTGAACATTGTTCGTTCCCGCCTGGTGTTGGGTAAAAGATCACACGCGGATTTGATTAAAATATATAAATCTAACACGACCTTCTCCTGTAAAGCCTCAGTGGCCGAGCGGTTGAGATCTCGTCTAGCAAACGAGAGGTCAGTGGTTCGAGTCCTGTGAGAACCCAACTGAGGTAGATTTTTTGATCTGCTTATACACTTGATGTAGCATACACTTAACATATAGATCTTTACCGAGTGACAAAAACACATTTCATAAAAGCATGAGTTGTTTACAGCAAACTCATGATGTCATTTTTCAGTCCTTACTTCAAGTTTTGGACTGCCTTGTAATAAATGAATTCTTTACTCTATTCTCCTATTCCCAGTTGGTCAATTCTACTTCCTGATTAGAAAGAGAATCCACTTAAGAGCAGAGGATGCACTGTTTTTCTTTGTCAACAACGTCATCCCACCAACAAGTGCAACAATGGGACAGCTTTACCAGGAACATCACGAGGAAGACTTCTTTTTATACATAGCATACAGCGATGAGAGTGTGTATGGTACTGACTAAATACAAACTACACAATATGTTTTATATGAAGATAAAAGAGTAAAATACACCCATCACCAGACCGGGGCATTATTGGAGCAGTGGAACCTAGTTGTAGAACTTACAGAGTACATGACTGTCTTTTTATTTGGTTAATGTATCGTTATACCCAATTCAAATCTACTGAGAATACTAACTTTGTCTATCATATTTACACGTCAGTGAAACATTGATATGGAAAGGATATGTAAATATCCATGAAGAAAAAAAGTATTCCCATTAGATTTGAATTTTTAAAAAAACACTGAATTACACAAATTGGTCTGCATCAATTATTGCTGATTTTCAGTCATTCCCAAGAGAATGGAATTGCTAAAAACACAGTGGCCATGTTGGTTAACAAAACAAAAGAGACTAAAGACAACTTAGGCACTCTTGTTGAGGTCAAATGAGAGGAAGTTATGAAAACCAGCAATAAATGCAAAAGATTTCTATGATATTTTATTGAGCAGTCTACCCTCTTGTTTCTTTCCTTCTTTTTCTCTCTTTCATCTCTCCTTTTTGCCTTGTTTATTTCAGCATTTTTCTTGGTCCTCTATTCCTCTTTCTTTCCTTCATTCTTTGTTTCATTTCTTCATTTATTTCTTTTYCCCCCTTCTGCATGTTGTTGCTTTGGGTAACAGAAACTTAATTCACCTCCTCAGCTCTGGAGCGCCCAAGCATAATGTTGTCCCATTTCAGACCACATGTCATTCCCTTGAGAATAATATTCTTTGTTTAAAYTGTATCCATATTCATGTGTCTTCTCATATGCAACCGAGCAAAGCCTTAAACAAAGAAATGATACTCTAGGGAATGACACGTGGTCGGAAATGGGACAATATTACGTCAGAGCCGAGGAGGTCTATTGAATCATGAAAAGAATGAATTCAATATTTTAATTTAACAGCTTGACTGTGATGCTTTAGTATAATTTTCTAAAAAAGTGAATGCTCAATAAACTAGAAATATATAGTCTAACAATTCCCACAAGCTTCATAGTCAATCTACTGAAAAATCTAAATTTAAATCTAACTATATCAACCAATCACATATGATATTACTTAGTGCTCCATTATTGCCCCAGCGGTGAATGGGTAGGGAAGTCTAAAGTGTATATGAATTATTGACCTCTAGAGGATATTAGTAGGTCATTAAAATAGACAAAAATCTTTGTGTCAAGGTATTTTTGAGCATTACAGAATTCTTAAAACACTACAGTGAACTCTCGCCTTACGGACACCCCGATATTACGGACACCTTGCTATTACGGACATGAGAAAAATCCCCGACAAAAATTCTGACAAAGAAATGACCGTAAAAAGTGTCGCTATTGCGGACGCTCGCTATTACGGACATGAAGTGACGGTCCCGAGGGTGTCCGCTGTAACGAGAGTTGACTGTATTTTGATTTACATATGCATGTTTATAGGAAATGATAGAGTACACGTCATATATGGTAATAATGTTGTTTGTAGTTGTAACGCTCTAGTGTGCTGTAAATAAATTATGATACACATGTTACAGAAATGTCAAGAAATTACACTATTTAAATTAAAGTGCCTATAACGCCTAACTCGATATTTTCAGAATTGATTCTACATAAAGTGAATAGTTGATTAGTAAGATATTGTCATATAAAAGTTTTGTATATTTAATCATGCCTACAATGACATCACTCTCTCTAGCATATTGTAAGTATAAACCTCGATACAGTCAATTCAAAAAACGTTGTCGTCGACTGGCTCAAGCCTACGCGACTGGACCGAAAGGAATATGGGTAAAAATCACTGAAGCGGTTAAATATTCGTTCTGAATTGTTTGTTCCCGCTAGTAATAAGATAATAATGGCGAGAAACAATGAAAGAAAAACAAAGTAGTTATGATTCAGTTCACAATTTCGAAAATATGAAGGCATTAAAAAAACGTCTCCTTCAACACTTCCCGCTCGCCTACGAAGGTTCGTGCTGTAAACCAGGCATAACTAGTCAGATAAAATAATGGAGTCAACTCGGCTTCAATGATTACTACCCAGAGTTCCTTTCGGTCCAGTCGCGTAGACTTGAGTTGGTCGACGACAAMATTTTTTGAATTGACTGTATATTCAAGATGCATCACTCAAATCATGAATTTTTTTACTATTCACCTATTCGCTTCATGTAGAATTAATGCTGAATATATTGAATTAAGTGGTATAGGTATTTTAGTTAAAATGTCAATCAAAATTGCATCAAAGCCAGGGGTGTATATAGCGAGGACCCAGCAACTGGGAGGGAGGTTTGCCTCACCTTCCCTCATAGTTAATGGAGCGGAATGGTTAGGAAACCTATTCTGTTTTTGTTCGTCTTTATCCATTGTTATGTGACGTTGACAGTGCACAGTGAAGAAAAAGTTTCTCCATTTGTTCACAGTATCAGGGAATATAAAAGTTTTTACCCTTAAAAATCGTTCTAAAATATGTATTATTTGTTAATTAATCCAATATGATTAACATTAATTGTTGATATTGGAAATTGTTGGAAATTGCTCTTTTTAATGCTTTCTTATTATCATCTAGTAACTTAACTGTATCTGCGCGGAAATATTTATTCGCATGGTTTTTGGTCATGGAGTAAAAGTTTTTACTTTCAAAGTGTTCATACATGAAAATAATAAGGAAATGAGCATTTTCAGCCATACTTGCTTTGGTTCATTGTGCACCGTCAGTAGCATGTGATGGTACGATTCAACATCAAAGGCAAAACAATAGCTTTGTTCTATAGAGTTTCCAAACCATTCCACTCCATTAACTATG